ACATAATGTCCTAGCTATGTACATGACCTACATAATGTCCTAGCTATGTACATGACCTACATAATGTCCTAGCTATGTACATGACCTACATAATGTCCTAGCTATCAGGTACATAATGTCCTAGCTATCAGGTACATAATGTCCTAGCTATGTACATGAGGTACATAATGTCCTAGCTATCAGGTACATAATGTCCTAGCTATGTACATGAGGTACATAATGTCCTAGCTATGTACATGAGGTACATAATGTCCTAGCTATGTACATGACCTACATAATGTCCTAGCTATGTACATGACCTACATAATGTCCTAGCTATCAGGTACATAATGTCCTAGCTATCAGGTACATAATGTCCTAGCTATGTACATGAGGTACATAATGTCCTAGCTATGTGCATGACGTACATAATGTCCTAGCTATGTACATGACCTACATAATGTCCTAGCTATCAGGTACATAATGTCCTAGCTATGTACATGAGGTACATAATGTCCTAGCTATGTGCATGACGTACATAATGTCCTAGCTATGTACATGACCTACATAATGTCCTAGCTATCAGGTACATAATGTCCTAGCTATGTACATGAGGTACATAATGTCCTAGCTATGTGCATGACGTACATAATGTCCTAGCTATGTACATGACCTACATAATGTCCTAGCTATGTGCATGACGTACATAATGTCCTAGCTATGTACATGACCTACATAATGTCCTAGCTATCAGGTACATAATGTCCTAGCTATGTACATGAGGTACATAATGTCCTAGCTATGTACATGACCTACATAATGTCCTAGCTATCAGGTACATAATGTCCTAGCTATGTACATGAGGTACATAATGTCCTAGCTATCAGGTACATAATGTCCTAGCTATGTACATGACGTACATAATGTCCTAGCTATGTACATGACGTACATAATGTCCTAGCTATGTACATGACGTACATAATGTCCTAGCTATGTACATGACGTACATAATGTCCTAGCTATCAGGTACATAATGTCCTAATGTCCTAGCTATCAGGTACATAATGTCCTAGCTATCAGGTACATAATGTCCTAGCTATGTACATGAGGTACATAATGTCCTAGCTATGTACATGACCTACATAATGTCCTAGCTATGTACATGACCTACATAATGTCCTAGCTATGTACATGACCTACAAAATGTCCTAGCTATGCACATGACCTACACAATGTCCTAGCTATCAGGTACATAATGTCCTAGCTATGTACATGACCTACATAATGTCCTAGCCATCAGGTACATAATGTCCTAGCTATGTACATGACCTACATAATGTCCTAGCTATCAGGTACATAATGTCCTAGCTATGTACATGACCTACATAGTGTCTTAGCTATGTACATGAGGTACATAATGTCCTAGCTATGTACATGACCTACATAATGTCCTAGCTATGTACATGACCTACATAATGTCCTAGCTATGTACATGACCTACATATTGTCCTAGCTATGTACATGACCTACATAATGTCCTAGCTTTCAGGTACATAATGTCCTAGCTATGTACATGAGGTACATAATGTCCTAGCTATGTACATGACCTACATAATGTCCTAGCTATGTACATGACCTACATAATGCCCTAGCTATGTACATGACCTACATAATGTCCTAGCTATGTACATGACCTACACAATGTCCTAGCTATGTACGTGACCTACACAATGTCCTAGCTATCAGGTACGTAATGTCCTAGCTATGTACATGACCTACATAATGTCCTAGCTATCAGGTACATAATGTCCTAGCTATGTAATGACCTACATAATGTCCTAGCTATCAGGTACATAATGTCCTAGCTATGTAATGACCTACATAATGTCCTAGCTATCAGGTACATAATGTCCTAGCTATGTACATGACCTACATAATGTCCTAGCTATGTACATGACCTACATAATGTCCTAGCTATGTACATGACCTACATAATGTCCTAGCTATGTACATGACCTACATAATGTCCTAGCTATGTACATGACCTACATAATGTCCTAGCTATGTACATGACCTACATAATGACCTAGCTATGTACATGACCTACATAATGTCCTAGCTATGTACATGACCTACATAATGACCTAGCTATGTACATGACCTACATAATGACCTAGCTATGTACATGACCTACATAATGTCCTAGCTATGTACATGACCTACATAATGACCTAGCTATGTACATGACCTACATAATGTCCTAGCTATGTACATGACCTACATAATGTCCTAGCTATGTACATGAGGTACATAATGTCCTAGCTATGTACATGACCTACATAATGTCCTAGCTATGTACATGACCTACCTAATGTGGTATGTTGTTTCGCCCCGTCAGAGAACTCCTCCCACCAGCCAGAGGTCCAGGATCCAGACTCGGATGGTTTGTCGGAGGAAGAAGATCTTAGCTTTGACTGGGGCTCCGAGTTTGACGAGGATTCCTCCTACCAGGTGAGATGTTGGGATGGTGTTTGTTCAACACCCCCCACCCACCCACCCCCCACCCCCACCCCAACCAACCACACTCCTGGCTGTTTGGAAGATAAAGTGCTGTCAAACCTGCACTAAGACTCACCTGTCCAAAAGAATCCCTTGTACCACTGACCACTTCCTGCGCTAAGGCTCACCTGTCCAAAAAAATCCCTTGTACCACTGACCACTTCCTGCGCTAAGGCTCACCTGTCCAAAAGAATCCCTTGTACCACTGACCACTTCCTGCGCTAAGGCTCACCTGTCCAAAAGAATCCCTTGTACCACTGACCACTTCCTGCGCTAAGGCTCACCTGTCCAAAAGAATCCCTTGTACCACTGACCACTTCCTGCGCTAAGGCTCACCTGTCCAAAAGAATCCCTTGTACCACTGACCACTTCCTGCGCTAAGGCTCACCTGTCCAAAAGAATCCCTTGTACCGCTGACCACTTCCCCCTTGTTTTTGGGGAGTTTTCAAAAGTTATAGCGACACAGTCCAAGACACCTACCTGTCTAAGACAGCCACCTTTCCCCTCCACCATGGATGGCTGCCCTGGACAATCTTGACCACCCGTGCACCCCCTCCATCCATCGTCCGTCATTGTTGTAGTTTGACCAGAATGACCGTACATAGTTTGACCAGAATGACCGTACATAGTTTTACCAGAATGACCGTACATAGTTTGACCAGAATGACCGTACATAGTTTTACCAGAATGACCATACATAGTTTTACCAGAATGACCGTACAAGTGTTAATGCATTTGTGGGGGCTCTCCTGGCCTACAGGTTAAGGTGTTCGCCTCTCATTCAAGAAGTCCTGGCTTCGAACCCAGATAGTGACAGAAAATTTTCTTCTTTCACCTCTTTTCCTGTTCTCTAACAATGCTGTTGTCTTCTTTTGTCTCCACTTTCTGCCCCCACCCCCTCACCTCCTTTGCCCCCTCCTCTGGGCTCCTGACTCTTTCTGCAGCCTTTCTACTGCTACTCCTTAGCTCCTCCTTACTGCTGTCTTTCAGCCACTCCCCTGATCTTATAGTAGGAAAGATCTACACCAAGCCCTCTCGGACAAGGGCAAAAAATCTTGGCGGTTCCGTGTGCAAGTTGCGCACGTTAAAAATCCCTTGGTGGTTCGAAATCAGTAAGAGTTGGCTTCGGCTGCCACGTGGGCAAAATTCAAAATTTCCTACCGACTGAAAATGTTTGTTGTGTCCGGCGCGCTTACATGATCTTATGCAGTTGCGAGCGCCGTTAAACACGTACCAACAAAGAAAAAAAATGCTTTTGTAGGTGGGCCATGGTCACTAAGGACTTGTTTCTTGACTGTGCAGTGGAGAGCAGTTTTGTTCTCCTGGACAGGGCCAAGCTCCCGTCTTCTCTCCCTGGGCAAGGAACAAACCAGCAGCTGCCAGATATTTCAGTGGGAGGTCAGTTTGGCTCTAGTTGTGTGGTACATACTACGTTCTGGCACCGGGAACTTCTCTTGTTCTTTTTTTTAAAATGTAGATTGTGATCACAAGTGAAGGTTGGAGGCTGAAGGATCTGTTTGTGAGACAGTTGGCGCGTCATGTGTTGTGAGTTAGTGCGTCGTGTGTTGTGAGTGTGTTGTGAGACAGTTAGTGCGTCGTGTGTTGTGAGTGTGTTGTGAGACAGTTAGTGCGTCGTGTGTTGTGAGACAGTTAGTGCGTCGTGTGTTGTGAGACCTTTAGTGCATCGTGTGTTGTGAGTGTGTTGTGAGACAGTTAGTGCGTCATGTGTTGTGAGTGTGTTGTGAGACAGTTAGTGCGTCGTGTGTTGTGAGACAGTTAGTGCGTCATGTGTTCCTCTCCTGTGGGTCCGGGGGGATGGCCCAGTGAGGGCTGGCTTTGTGGACACAGCTGTAAGGATGATGTCTCATGATGACAATATAAAGACAATAGTTTCCCTCAATGTCTCATGATGACAATAGTTTCCCTCAATGTCTCATGATGACAATATAAAGACAATAGTTTCCCTCAATGTCTCATGATGACAATAGTTTCCCTCAATGTCTCATGAAGACAATAGTTTCCCTCAATGTCTCATGATGACAATAGTTTCCCTCAATGTCTCATGATGACAATATAAAGACAATAGTTTCCCTCAATGTCTCATGATGACAATAGTTTCCCACAATGACAATGTCTCATGATGACAATAGTTTCCCTCAATGTCTCATGATGACAATAGTTTCCCTCAATGTTTCATGATGACAATAGTTTCCCTCAATGTTTCATGATGATCGATGCTTCCGCAGAGGAGAATATTTTTGTCTTTATCCAATGAGAAGAGGTATAGGTCAAAAGGACTTGTGGCTTTGACTAGGACTAATGAGACCAGTTCTGGCAGAGCAGAGCTTTCCACATTTGGAGCAGTAAAAATTTGAATTCTTTTCGTGGATGTGCTCAGTTTGCTGACTTCCCTCTTGGTATCAGCATTTCTAATTTCTGCCTGGCTGTCTGCTGTGACTGCTGCTGTCCGGCTGTCATACACCCAACAGCTTTGTACAACATACACCCAACAGCTTTGTACAACATACACCCAACAGCTTTGTACAACATACACCAAACACCTTTGTACAACTCAGGTTGTAAAGCACAGTTTTGTTGAACTCCAACCTTTAACACGACGGGAACGTTTCTGCTTGTGTTTGATTTAGGGCAATGTGGAGGAGTATCTGGCCAGAGAGGGAGCAACTGACGCACACATGGAAGCCCCCGACAAACCGCTGCCTCAAAAACCTGGGAAAGGAAAAGTGAGTTCATCGTCAGTGTTAAACCTTTATTCTTTTGCTGTTCAAAATTTACTTTTGGTAATTTTAACGTTTGTGGATACTACATTTTTCAATGAGGGGGAACAGAATTTCTACTGAAGAACGTAAAGTAAAAGCTTTGTTTAATTTTGTGGCCTGCATCCAGACATTTCTTGAATTTCTTTGGCGGGATGCTTCCAGACATTGATGTCAGGTTCATTGAGAAGTCAGTGGAACATGTTGCTATCTCGTGCAAGCGATGGAGAGAGATCGGGCGTGTCTACCGCTGGCACTGGTTATCTCACTCTTTGCTGGTGGCTCGAAGCACCTCTAGTTTTGCTTTTGTGGTGGTCTAGGTGAGAATCGTCTGTAGTGCCATGGAGGTAACAGCTTTACCTTGTGGCAGATTGCTCACTAGCCCAGACGGCTATTTTGTATTTTCTCCGTTCTATAAGCTGTATTGGAAATCCAGACACAAACTTCTAATTCTAATGATTTAAACTGGGGGCTCCGGAGACCTAGAGGTCAGTGAGTTCACTCTAATGTCCAGCCAGGGACCTAGTGGTCAGTGAGTTCACTCTAATGTCCAGCCAGGGACCTAGAGGTCAGTGAGTTCACTCTAATGTCCAGCCAGGGACCTAGAGGTCATTGAGTTCACTCTAATGTCCAGCCAGTGACCTAGTGGTCAGTGAGTTCACTCTAATGTCCAGCGTAAGTCAATGACAGAACATTTGAGTTGGGTGGTTTCTGGGGTGTGTCTGCGAGCAAAATAGAGCTAAGAATTCCGTTGTCCCGTCTTCTTCCTCTGTCAAAGTATGGAGAACAGTATGTCACAATTCATCTAGAAGCTGGTTCATTTACCTTGCTTTTGATGTAATCATCTAGAAGCTGGTTCATTTACCTTGCTTTTGATGTCAAAAGTTTCCATCGCTCTTGAATAGAAGTCGGGATATTAGCAATTGAAGAAAGTGGGGGGG